GTCTCCTAAATATATACAATATAATTTAATTTAATCTCACATCCAGAGGATATCCTTTGTAACAGATAATTACATCAAAGAAATGCAGCCAGGTCTGCTTTTTGGAGATTTTACTTAAAAAAATCTATGCAAACATGTTACTAATTGATACCATGTGATGTAATTTATAACATGTTGTAATTACACTAATTCAGCATGTTCAACAAAATGTAAATAAAATGAAAGTGGGACGAGTTCTGAATGAAAACTATGTTTCAGTTTGAAAAGCAGTTAAACCAGTAAACTCGTTGCTGTTTGTGCGTTTAACGTGTTTCCTCCTCGCTCACACAACACGACATTAATATCTACTTCTTCTCAGATGCACTGTTATTGTTTAGAGAGCACRCGGGTTGTTGCTGAGTCATGCTTACAATCAAAATAAAACCAGTGGAGCAGCTCTGTGGTAAACGCTCCCTCACCCCCTCCTTTATTTACTCCTTCAGACCTCCTCCTCCTCCTCCTTCCTACCCCAGGAGACAACAGTCGGTTCCCTCGCAGTGAGTCACGTACCCTCACTTCCTGCCTGCCGCGCTCACAGTGACACGGCGACAAGTCTGTCTGGAGCCACGTGTTGTTGGACCTGCTTCACTAGAAGTTTCCGTTTTCACTGAGTGAATGTTTGCTAAAACCTCCTGTGATTTCTGAGCAATCCTGGAAATAATTTAATCACCCTTTAAAAGCTAATAAAGGTTAACGTTGTGCTGATATTTCTGAAGTTAGATGAGTTAGTGTTGTGGTGAAGTTGATGCGCTGTGTGGACAGCCCCAGGCCACGGTTAAATACACCCAYGTGTTGCATCACGTAACCATGAGGTAAGGGAGGTGTTGATGTTTTGGAGGAAAAGGCATGGTAGTTATTTAGAGCAGTGGTTCCCAAACTTTTTGTCTTCTGACCCCCAAAATATCCATGGCAAAAACTTGTGACCCCAAATATTACTGGTCTGAGTACATTAGCTTCGTTAATAACCCTAAAAACACAGACTTTTTGACAAGTTAAACAGCTTGTACACTAATATAAATACTTATTTTTACTTATTTTGTGCTTTTGTAACAATTATAGGGAAAATATTGCATCAGCAATAATTTTATTACCCTTTAAATTGCTTTCTGGAGATTATCCAAGGTGCTTCATGACCCATACTTGGGTCCCAAGTCCAACTTTGGGAACCAAAGTGCGCTGGTTCCAAAACTTTTCAGCTTTTGACCCACAACATAGTACAAAACAGTAGCAAAAACCTGTGCCCCTAACTATTTTTGGATGAAAAACATTTGTATCAGGTCAAGTAAACATGGGCATAGTAACAATATTTTTATATTACATTTTTCCATTTTAAATATACTAACCTCACTCATTTGTAACAACTAATGTCATTAATTCAGAAAATCTTTTCAGGACCCCACTTTGATGTTTTGGGACCCCACTTTGAGTCCCGACCCCAACTTTGGGAAACACTGATTTAGAGGACACTTTCAGAAGAATGCAAAGACCTCGAGGTGTTCTGGAAGGTTTTGTTTTCAGGTTAACAGATGCTTTAGGTGTGCTTGTAAGAGTTTTAGAGGCTCTTTAGTGCTTCYGAAGGGATTTGAGAGGTTTTGCGGTTCCACGAGTGAGCTCCGGAGGGTTTAAGCAAACAGTTTTGTGCAGACTTTAAACTTTGTGTAACGACCAAGCAAAGTTTCTTCTGGAGTTTGTGTTTAAGTGAGAGAAAKGTTCTTGTGATTTCTGCAGGATGTCAAGGGTTCTTGAAGAGCAGTGGTGTCCATTCCTGGTCCTCAAGGGCCACTACTCCTGCTCCAACACACCCTGCTCAGTGCTTGAAGTAGCTCTTCAGCGTGTTCTCAAGTTTTGCAGGAGTCTTGTCAATCGGCCATTTGATCAAATCAGAAGTGCTGAAGCAGAAAAACGTCTAAAACATGCAGGATAGTGATATTTTATGGCCTTAAGACGGGCTTTCCAAACTCATTACGTATATATTAGAGGTGCAACGATACAGAAAATTCACAATTTGGTTCGATACTTTAGTCTCACGGTTCGATATTTTTTCGATACAAAAAAGAGAAA